GTGCTACCCCCCAATATTAGCTATAACCCCCCCAAACAAAATGTCCACCCCTCCAAAAAAATTTTCAACCCCCCCAATATTCGGCATAATAAAAAATAATTAAATAGTCCACTCCAACGTGCAGAGTGTTGATGATACAAAATAAACGTAGGAGTACACTCAAATAGAAAAAGACAGTGCAATACTCTGAAACTAATTGCTCCTCGCTTGCATTCACTGGTTTATTGGAGCAATTGTAAAGTTTTGAAACTCTATTATCTCCCCTGAATAGAGTTTGCAGTGCCTTGTCATGCAAATAGCTTGCTTGCAAGGAACGTTTGGAAATTTTACGAACATTATTTTTAGTTTTTAATTCTTTTAGGAAATAGTCTTGCCTAGATTTAATCTTTACGTCCCAAATATTATTTCCATCGGCGTTGCATTATAAATTGTACTTGGATTCAAATGACACAATGTCAATGATTTTATAAAAGTAAAAGCATATTGTGTATCAGGCCTATTGGGTTAATTTACACTTTTACAGGTTCATTTAACTTTAACTCTCTCAAGTCTCGACAGACAATCGGACAGGCCATCCATTGATATGACAACTTCAAAAAACTTTTTTTGAAGCTAGAAATCATGATTTTTTTCAAATTTTTCCAAGGATACTTTGTTTTCTGCTCTCTAGACTCCCACTCGCGGCTCTAGTGCTCCACCCCTAGAATATAGACCTCACTGGGGTTTGGTGACACTTTGTGTTGCTTCAGTCACCTGCTTGCGGCTCACCCCCCTAAAATTTCTGGCACCACCCCAGTAAAAAATATGAAAATCCGTCTATGATATGCGTATCGTAGCTGTAGCATTTAAGTGGCTGCAAAAGTATTTATGCCCTCGTAATTTAATGAACACATATTACCTTTTTTATTGACTAATTTTTGTATATGCTAATTGTTGAACATTTATTGTTATATCTTTAGGCAGATTTGACATTAGTCACACAAAATATGAGTGTCCACAATTTGAGATTGTGCTTTCTTCAACAAATCCATGTGTTATAATACAATTGGGATTTTGGCCTGGAAGTATATCCAACATGACCTATGTTTTTCATCAAGACCTCTTTCATTACTGGGATATTTTGCAGAAGCATGTTCCTGGAATTTCTCAAAATAGTTTTGTGAAATCATTAGAAATCTTTTCTGTACAGAAAGGGCGGGTAAGTTTAAACCAACATGTAATGTAAGTAGGTTATTATACAAATAATGAATGTTTATGAATGCAATGGTAAAAATATTGTCATGAGGTGAAAGATGGGATTTTCCATTTTACGAGGCGACAACCAATATGTAATATAAGTACTAGGTTATTATACAGATAATGAATGTTTTATATGAGTGCAATGGTAAAAATATTTTCATTCAGTGAAAGATGGAAAATTCCATCTTTCACCAAATGAAAATATTTTTACTGTTGCACTCATATAAAACATTCATTATTTGTTGTATATGACTCCAAAATTACAAAATTCTGAAAATAGATAAATTTTATCGAATTTTTTAGTGAATTAAATACAAAACAGATATGTATACCTTGTTCAAAAGTACCAACAAAATTGAACAAATATTTTATAGAAGAATTAATATGATATTTTGGCAGTCATTTATCATAAAAATTGTAGTAAAAATATTCTATGTTTATGCATGTCTGCCATTTTGCTTTTGCATGAGTTATGTATTTGACTAAATTCCATAGGTCTCAGTATTGAATTTATAATTTATAGAGCTATGAATATACGATACGAATTGGATTATTGAATTTAATTAACGGTAGGAGCGTGCAACAATTTTTTACTATTCAAGTAGCAGAATGGAACATCGCACATCACGCGATCACGATGAGCCAATTAAATTCCACTATTTAATATGATTTTTTATATAAACCCTCTTAATGGCCTCAAAGTTTACCTTCTGTATGCTAAAACCTCCTGGTGACTTTGTTTGAAAGTTATTAATAGTGTATTAGTTTTGTACATACAGGGTAATCAAAAAAAAGGTAAACCTAACAAAAGTGTGTTTTTGCGTGCAAAATATTTCATTACATAATGATGCCATTGCTATCTGGTCAATTATTTGCTATCTGGTCAATTATTTACTGTGACTAACGACAGAACAGAACTTTCTTGAAAATTTTTACATTGTGTATAACTACATGTATTTTAATTACAGATGGGAACGATTAACAGCAAAACATTTGGAAGCTCTTTCCGTGAATGGAAATTTTGTCAGTTCAAACTGAACAAGCTACGGCAGATGAACTGGATGGAGTGTCCTGCATGTGAACAACAGCAACACTCAGTGCACATAGATGGTAATATGAAACTTTATCGGTACAAATCTGTGGGGATGTAAGTATTTTGTATACAGAATAAGCACATGACAATGTTATCACAATGCATTGTAATTATTTCGCATAATATAGCTGTGTATCCTGAAATGTTCAATGCCGTAATTTCAAGCAGGAAGTTGTGACATGTTTCTACGCTACCATAGTTTCTATTTTGTCACATGTTTTCTATTTATAGTATATAAAAAAAGTATCTTCCAATGTTCCATGCTGTAACTTCCTGTATGATGAACTGAATTAGGGGCTTTGCTGGAAACTTAAAGATACATTTACAGTAGCTAATTTTCTATCGTGCTGGCAGTTACAACAGTAACCCTAAAATCTTTAAAATATCGTATTGTGGGTTGGCTAATGGCTATGAGTTTAATTTTGTTTTTGGAGGAAACGATATGATGATTTCTCATTTCATGTTACATATTGTGTTGGATTACATATACAGTACAGTAATTAAGCAAGCTTTAGCTATAAAATTTGCCTTAGGGGTTCGAAAAACTACTAAATGTTACTGTAATTAAATTTGAACTGAGACTGATCATGGTCATCTGCCCAATGCATACATTGTGTCTTAGTAATCAGGCATTGCAGCAGTAAGGAATTTCAACCACCTGAAAACATAACAAGAAGAGCTTCAACGTTTCGAGCGAAGGTCCTTCATCGCTACTGCTGTAACTTCCCAATGTACTGTCTTTGCTCCAAACGTCGAAGATCTATTTTTAAGGTAGTAGAATCCCTTACACCGCAATGCCTTACTTTTTTTCTATTTGCTCTGGCAGCGATCGTTCCAGATCTTTGTTTTCGTAATCGTATGTTTTATATAAAGTTAAACTGAAATTTACTTATAACTTATTCAGCAGGCAAAGGGAGTGCTACTATGGCAAGGCTTTTATTGCTTCGAATGAAAAGATTCAACAGCATTTGTGTAAAATTTACAAGAGAGGAAAGGAAAAGGTATTCTGCAATAATTGACGTCATTTAGCCATTTAATTTTTTTGTTTGAGTAAAGGATTTTTTTAAAACTCATTAAATATCAATGTGTCGCAGCACTCTATATCTGGATCCTGGGATGTGCTGTACGTATAGAAAGCTTGTGATTGTTTTGGTTTTGTAACAAATCGACTCCTTTAATTAATTTTCTAATGGCCTTACTGTACTTGTTAGGGTATTCTGAATCCACCTGTTTTAATTCTGTACCTGTTCTTTGTTACGCGTGCTTAACCCATTGAGCGGCAATGCTCTACCCTTAAGGATTAAAATCGTTCGGCGTTTGAAAAGTACCAAAAAAATAGGCACACTGGGGCGCATTGCAGCTTAATTGGTTAAACATTCAATATCTGCATGCTCAAAGTATTGCTGAGCAACCGTTTTTAAGTTGTTAAATTTATTCCTTAGGTGACCGACGATTCTAAGTGTGGCGATTCCGTGTGGCGTGCTGCTGGCAATACTTTAAATAAAAAGAAAAACGTTGATGAAACTGGACTGGAAATTGCTGGTTGTCGTCACAGTGTTGCCCAGCATGCAGTTAGCATGAAGCATGGAGAAGTGTATGGCTATGCGCATTATATGCAACTGAAATACTACCTTCCACGTGCAACTAAATTCTTCTGGTATGATGTTATTTGCATGCAAGTATTGGCCTTGGCTCCATAAAAATGACGTAACAACATGCCAGAAGATGAAACCTGCTCTTTCCGTCATGCATGCAAAGGCACATGCATGGCATTGCCAGGTGAGGTTCGCTGCCTTCAGTTATGTGTTACTTGGTAAGTACAAGCAGGTGCAGTGTTCGATTGTTTTAATTTTTTGCAGGTCATTTGGGGTGGACGATGGCAAGCTGGCGCTTCTGCAACAACAGGAGAAGAAGTAGAGCAAATCAACAGCCATTTTTCACGGTTAGGGTGCACTACCAAACACATGTTACCTGTAAGCACATGCACCAGAATTATTTAACCAGCAAAATGTGTGCATTTTTAGTACCAATATAGGTATATTGACTATTTTTGAACACAGGACGAGAGGAATTACTGACCGAGCAAGCATTGGACTGGAATAAAAGGAAAATTAAGAAACTGCCAAGTCTTCTAGGTAAAAGATATGCAAAGGTAATTACTTTTTCAATTTATTACTTATTTAATAGTACCGGGCCACCTACAGTGCCGGTCACGTCTATTTTAACACAATTTATCGTTTATTTTCGTCTAATGTCTCCGCGTCCTAACGTCTCCGCATTTAACGCCTCTGTTTCTAACGTCTCTGATCTGTTATCTGTATATCGTCTCCTTGTTTTGTCTAAGCGTTCATAATCAGATACTCTGAATCCGGTCGTCTACATATCTACTGTATCTAAATTTTATTTTGATCCTATTTTAGCCAAACCAAATCAAGTTATTTACGTACCGTCTATACTTGTAGTCGTCCTTATCTTGACATAACGGTGCAAGTGTTAGTTTTTATCTCATAAATACATGATATTTTTATCTTTATGATATACATGTAGGACCCTACGCTTAGGAGACTGTATATTATTATGCATAATCATGGCATTGATTGAAATGAAAAATTGATGAAGTCAACTCGGATCAGAGAATATTGTGAAGATATATAGGGAGCGTTCCTTTAGTGCAATCCAAATTTGGATCTTCAAACCCAATTATCGATTTTCAGTTTAATTAAACAAAATCTTAAAATAGATTCGAATCTGATGAATCGTACTTCTACTTTCGTACTTCTACTGTCGGTGTAATCTTTTTCAATTTTCTGACATATAGGTGAAAGTCGCAACTGCATGGGCGATGCTGAACAACCCGTTTGTGAGGTGGAAAGTGTTGTGTGTGTGGTAAGTTCTTCAGCCGTAATTTTCTTGTACGTTTACAAGGTGAGAGAGTATATTGTTTGGATTTGTAGATACACCGCATTATCGAGTAAACATGGAGCAAAGCTTTCGGTTTGTATGCTGGAACCCTTTTCACTGAGAAGGGTTCCGATATACGAGCGGAAAGTTTTCCTTTTACAATAATAAAGGCGCTGTATGTTTACTGCAATACATGGTGTATCAACAAATTCGAACAACATACATTTTCAGTCATTCGAGAGTTTAAGATCTACGACGCGGCCGGCTCAACGACGCGCTTGCGAAAGAAAGAAATCTGTCATGCAAGACAAAAACTGTGAATAAATTTGTGGTCCCAGTGGCAGTGGTATTTCTCAACGGCTTTGTCATGCTCAGCAGAACGTTAAACTAAGCATTATCACGTCTTTCAAGCAACGCAAAGCTTATTGCGACCCAAAAGGTGATACTTAAAGTCGAAATTACAGCAAACATTGCATCGCTTTAGTCAAACTTAGCGGTTTGTAATGTTATTTGAAAGTCGTCAAACATTTATTACAGTAATGAAATTGCTTAGCGTTCATTTTTTAGCTGAAATTCAGACCGCGTCATTGAGCCGGCCGCGTCGTAGATCTTAAACTCTCTAATATTACGCTTGAAAAAATTGTTTGTTAGTTGTTTGTTAATTAGCTAAGCAAGCCACGTCCGTTATATGTTTCCCTACCTATTCGTTATATTAATAGCTACGACTGCTATGTAGCTAAACTGTATTTAAATCTTTATTATTTAATTTAGGCACAAAACTATTCTACCACCTTGTTGGAAAAGACCACTGTGAGAGGGAAGCTTGCCTTGGTTAACAAAGGCATCAACTTTTCCATGCAACAATTAACTCATTAAGTCTCATTGCGCCCCCATGCGCCCTGGAATTGGGAACGGGGTAAGTCTCATTGCGCCCTCATGCGCCCTGGATGACACGTCAACTTCCGGTCACGATTGTCTAGCGCGTGTTTATCAGGTTGCCTAGCAACGGTCACGAGTATAAAGTACAAAATTCGGGCTTTCAAACGATACATCATGCGAGAAAATTGATCAATAGGTTGCGAAGATTTTCGATTTTAAAACTCTATTTTTTTGCAAAAACTGTGACAACCGCAAAGTGTCACAAGATAGGACTTTGCAGCAAGTTTTAAGGATGAAAAAGAAGAGGTTTTTAAAGAGTTTTACATATAAAATATATTGTAAAACATAAGGGAGTGTGCATATGTTTCAAGTCAAGTTCTTGTCCAAATCAAGTTGTGCGATTTTCAGCCAGAAAAACAGCAATTTCTTTCAATCTAACGGAAAAGTGAAGTGGGAAATCGCAAGAAACATGAACACTAAATCCAAGTGAGTAGTTACGATTTTTTTGAGCGTGTTTTTGAATGAAAATACCTGGCATGTTTTCATGAAATACGATATAGCATTAAAGCAAGTTCAATCTAGTTTAAAACTAAGTTTTTAGAAGAACTTTTCGTGCATTTTATGGCATGATTTCGACTGTTTTCGTGACCCTACTGTTGGTCGTCTTGCTCAAGTTGTTATTTTAGCCGAAGTACTTTCAGAAGACAGTAAGTTCAACTTGTCATGTGCGTATATACATTTTTGGCAAGAAAAATTTCGAGTAAAACAGCATTATGCACCTATCATTGTTTTCCCCCTGAGGGGGGGTGCGGGCGACCCAGGGGACTTTGACCACACTATGAAGCCCTAGTGAGGGGAATTTGACCTATGCATCAATTCCCATAGTCGGGAAATTTTGACATCCGCCATCTTGAAAGTTTGCGCGGTTTTGACATTGAAAGGCCTGGTAACAAGTATGGCGGAGAAGCACGATCAAGTTTCATCGAAAAAGGTATTTTATAGCCTTTTATACACAGTGTCTCAATTTTTACCAAGTTTAAACCAGTATAGACTGTATGTTCGCATTAGAAAACATGTGTGTGCCTTGTTATCTTAGGAATATAGTGGGGAATTTTGACAGCCATTCCTTGCCCAACAGTGGGGATTTTGACAACAAAATTTGAAAAATGTCAAAATTCCCGTGGGTTGCCCGCACCCCCCCCCCTCAGGGGGAAAACATTGATAGGTGCATTAAAACTAAGTAGAATACTCTACAATGAATACTATATCTGTTTCTATAAACTTTGTCTCGAAACAAGCTATCATTTCAGAGATAATGTGGTTTAAAATCAGTGTATTGAATTATGCCGTTACTTGGCACGTGCGAATTCTGAACCTTCATGACAGGGATTTGAAAAGCTTCTAAAATACACTTTATCGCTTCATATATCCCCATAAAATTTTTAAATCAATAAAGCACATCATAAAACTAATGTACGCTCATTTTCTAAGAAGTACTCATCGATTACCTGAAGGAAAAGTTTAAAATAGGTCAGGAGAGCAGTTTACAAAATGCTGTTCTCCTCTGAAAATTATGGCTTCTTTTGCGGGAAGCCATTAAATTTATGTACTTTCCAAAATTGTAATTTAGTCGCTTTTTTGGTCTCATTGTTCACTTATTTATCATGGAATTACTTCGCTTGAGCTCTTTTAATAATATCTGCAAGATACCTTGCTATTTGGTGAAATAAAAGCTATATTTTTAGCAGTTTATCTTTTGAAAACTGCATGCGCAACAAAGTGTCACCAATGTGTTTACTCTCGTCTGACAAACAACCAAAGATGAAATACTTTATTTCACTCTTTTATAGCGATCTAAAATGCCTAAATATTAGATTATTCATTTTATTTGAG